GTCGTTTGGTTTTGGTCAACCTTTCCCACCTAGTCAAACATGTGAACTTAGTGATAAATTCTCTATGTGGCCCATAATTTATCAGAATTTTCCAGTTTCCTCAGAGATCAGTTTATCCTATAGTACACATTTTATTTTGTTTAATTTTATGTATTTATTCACACGAACATCTTGTATTAAATAAAGTTTACGGAGGGTATGGAACATATTTTATTTATCGTTGAACCCCTCACAAGACTTTGCATATTAAAAGAACTCATTAAATTTGTTGCAAATTTGTTGAATGTCTTTTATTGAAACGTGTTCTTGTGGTATTATATTATTCAATGTCTAACATATGCCAAAACTATTTTAGGATAACTTAATTTAATCCATATAATGACACACTTTGGGAAACTAAGACCAAAGGAAATCAGGTAATTTACCTTGAGGTTAGAGATAATAGCCTAACATGGACAACACAAAACAGACATAGATTTTTCTGACCTCAAAGCTCTAACCTTTTCTATCTTCACACCCTAGTTTGTTACTATGAATATACACATACATTTTTTATTTAATGAGTTAGATTTTTCCTTTTCAGAGTGGTCAAAGACGGTCTTCAATTCTAAAAGCTAAGATTCCAGGAAAGTTCTTCAGCAAATGTTTTGCACATTTGGATGTTATAGTTGTATAGGTGGGGTGAACAAAATGCATGACATTGAAATAACCGAGATTAACCAGAGTTTTGATAAAACACATTAAAATAAAAACTCTCAAATTGATTTTTATCTACAACAGACGTATTCCTTTTGTGAAATAATATTTCACATTTAAAAACCTGTTGATTTTGTTCCCCCAGTTTTTTCTCTGAACACTTTGTTTACAGTTCCTCTGCAAAAAAGCTAAGCTACAATTCGACTTTGGTACTAGCATTTTTCCTTTGAGTGGGTTCCTTCATTAGTGTTATTTAGTTTCATTTCTTCAGCTCTGAAGGAATATCCAAAACTAAACTTCTGATAATAAATTAATTACTAAGCAAATGAGTTAGAATTGTGCTCAACAAAACGTTGTACTATACTAGACTGATTTGAACAATTCTTCTATTTATAACTTATTAGATATAAAATTACTTCCTCATTTTAGATGTATTATTCTACTTTTTGTCTGTTATTTAAGTTATCATTTGCTTTAGAACATAAAACTATACAATAGATAAATATGAGAATAAGTGAATTATTAATTTTCATTAAAAATAATAACAATCCTATGATGGTTAAATATATTTTCACTTGTATTTATTTGATGGAAAATATAGTATGAAGGCAAAATGACCTGGTCATATTTCTCTAAAATTATCAATTTCAGTTTATTTGTTCTGGTGATTTTAATGGAAAAACAGTTATTTCTGACATACATTATGTTTAAGGGTGCTTTACTTTAAAATATGTTGAAAACCAAACTATAAATATAAGTGAAAACTACAAAATAAATGTAGTAATTTATTAATTTTTCTCCCACTTCTTACTCTTGAGTGAAGAGATGAAGCTATGCGGAAGCTGATCATAGCTTTGTTTCTAAGCCATAGTTTTCTTATCTGCAAAATGGTGATACTAATACATAACCTTAATGAGGATTGAGATGATGTTTACCTGTTTATCTAGTAAATTATGGCTTTGCCTTTGCATCTGAATGACCTTGACCTGCTACGTACTGCTGCATGTTCTGATTAACACAGACTTCTGCTTTCCTAGGGATATAGAATAAGCCCTGGTGGCACAGCAGTTAAGCACTTGGCTGCTAACGGAAAGGTCAGTGGTTTGAACCCACCAATTACTCCAATGGAGAGGCTGACTTGGGAAAAATTTAGTTTTGGAAACCCTAAGGGCAGTTCTATTCTGTCCTGAGAGTCCAACTTGAGAACAGTGAGATTAGGTTTTAGAAGGAAATAAAATATCATTTTTCTGAACTGGTCTGGGGTAAGGTAGCATCATTAGTAGCAATTGTTCCATGCCAGTGCAATCATTCAGGAATGACTAAACAGTTAATGATATAGCTTCCCTTTCTAGAATGTAGAACGACAATTCCCTAGTTATTTGATGCTAGATTGAACAATAGATTTCTATATTGAAATAATGAAAATGAAAAGCAATTTGTTGTTATAAGTAAACGAGTATGACTAATTCACTCAACAATATTTATTAAACTATATCTTTCATGTACAATCACCTTTGAACTGGAATAGCAGTATAAAAAACAGAAATAATGGTATAAAAGAAAAGTAGCAATTTCAAATGATTGTTTATCTCTTTATTAGAAATTTATTTCCTTAGCCAATAATAAAGTAAAATTATGAAACCATTTTGTAAAGCTAATTTTTTTTGTTTTACTTAGTAATTTCCAGATGTAGTTTTGATGGATCTAACTGTTATAACTGTCAATGGTCTTCTTTGGAAATTAAGAACTTGTTAAGAAGATGGATGCCCCCCTTTTCTAATAGTCCTTGACTTAAATTTTGTGTTACAAAAACGACACATACATTTAAAAATTTATCCCAATGAAGGCTGTATGAATATTCTAGGATTCTAGAAAGATTCCTCCAAAATATACCAGAAAGTTGTCTTTGATTTCTTTCTCTTACACACACGCACCATGAAAAAATCCATGGAAAAATCCCATTATTTTTCAGTCAATTTTTCACAAAATTTTTAAAAGGCTCTTGTATATACTTTGATGCTGTTTATGGACCTAAGTATACAGGAGCCATGGTGGCATAGTGGTTACCCATTGGGCTGCTAAGTGCAAAGTCAGCAGTTTGAAACCACCAGTCACTGCAGGAGAAACACAAAGCTTTCTACTCCCATGGAGTTACAGTCTCTGAAACCAACCAGAGCAGTTCTACACTTTCCTAGGGTCAGAATCATCTCGATGGCAGCGAGAATTGTATACACGGTAAAGTATAAATCTAAATGTCTAAAATATAAATCTAAATGTGATTGGATGGGACATTATTACGTATCAGCACAAACCCTCACATCATCTATTTCTTCCTTTCTTCCTAGTTTACTTAGATCTAAAGCCCAGAAAACAATAGGATTTCCCCAAGTTTATTCACTGCACAGTCACCTTTTAAATTCAAAGAGATTTCAAATAGAGGGAAAACAATTTACCTTACCATTCACAGGTTTCTCATGAACATTAGGACAAAAAGTTCAACTTTGGAGACAACTGCCTAGGCTGAAACCATGCTTTTGTCACGTGGGAGCCATGTGGAAGCCTGCCTGTAACTTTGGGTTTCTGTTGTTGTTAGGTGCCACTGTGTCCTTTCCCACCCATAGTGACCCTATGCACAACAGAAGGTAACATTACACGCTCCTGCTCCACCCTTACTCCTAGGCTTGAGCCCATTGTTGCAGCCACTGTGTCAATCCATCTTGATGAGGGCATTCCCCTTTTGCGCTTCTCCTCCACTTTACCAAGCATGATGTCTTTCTCCAGTGACTAGTCTCTCTTGACAAGACATCCAAAGTATGTATGGGTATCACCATCCTTGCCTCTAAGGAGCTCTCTGGCCATTCTTTTTCCAAGATAGATCTTTTTAGCAGTCCATGGTACTTTCAATATTCTTCACAAACATGGATGTCTTCCAGTCAGTTGGCCAAGTATCTGTCTTCCAAATTTCTTGACATAGATGAGTGAGTGCTTCCAGTGCTTCATTTGGTATTTCATCAATTCCTGGCGCCCTGATTTTGGCTAATGCATTCAGTGCCACTTGAACTTCCTCTAGCAACTGCTTCTTGCTCATATCCTACCTTCTGAAATGGACTGTTGACTAGTTCTTTTTGTACAGTGACTCTTTGTATATTCTCACCTTGGGGTAAGTTGCTAAATTCTCTGTACCTAATTTTGCTCATAATGAAGATAATATTAAGACTGCTTCTCACAGGGCTCTAGTGAGGTTCAAGTAAGTTACTATATGTATGGCATTTGAGATATAGCACACGTGATACCCAGCGCTGTGGTCTTGGTCTCTTAGTGACCTTTCATGGCAGGATAGAACTGCCCCATAGGATTTCCAAGGTATAATTCTTTACAGAAGCAAACAGCCTCGGCTTTCTACCTTTTGTTGGCTTGTGGGTTCCAACCCCTGATCTTTTGTTTTGCTGCTCGATACTTAACCACTACATCGCCAGGCCCTCTTTGTTACAGCAAATTATTCCTATTTTTCATTGCTAATTCTATTGCTGCCACAAACTTATGATGCTTAACTACAAAGTGCACATCAGAAAACATGAGGAAGAAATGCATTTTTTTTTCTTCTTATCGCTGTCCTGGGATGTCTGACAAAACCGGAGCCAGTGATCCGGTAGAACTACGGTGTGAGAACGCATTGGAAATAACCCAGGGTTGTGATTGGAGCCTAACAAATGTCAGGATAACGTGCTAGGCTAAGCAAATACCTGCATCTTCCAGGGAACGCGCGACCCGAAACACGAACATGATTAGGGGCAAAGTTATCCCCTCGGTCAGTAGTGAAAAGGAGAAGATTCTCTAGAGTCCGGTTTCCTACTGGAGGGTGCGATCTTGCCTGTGGAGTTCTCCAGCCGCGGCCGTGGGGAAGAGGCGACTTTGAGGAGCCGTGCGTTGAAGGGCGCACAGAAGGCAACCTTGCGGTTTCTGCGCCCTGTCCCAGGGCATGCGGGCAGCTGGCTGTGCAGATGATTTGCTCTTAACCGTTCTCTGGTCGCCGCCCACCATCTCGGGAATCGGCATCCGATAGGTAGCCGGTGCTGTGACGTCATCGCTGGGCGGGTCAAAGAGGCTTGTCCCAGCTATCCCCGCCTACAGCCCGGATTCGGCCCGGCACTAGCGTCCTTGGCCTATACGTCACTTCCGGCGCGCGCGGCTACCCGCGGATTGGGGCCCGGGCCTGGGCGCGCGGCTGCCCGGGGGCGCGCGAGGAGGGCGGGGAGGGGAAGGGGGAGTGTCTGTCCACCGCAGCCGCCGCCACCGCTAGAGATTCGCCGCTGGGTCTGTGGAGTTCCCTGAAACCCGTTCCTCAGAATCAGCCCCCGGGTTCTCGCAGGGACCCCGGCAGCCAGCGCCGGGTGCTCTCGCCGCACTGACGGGTGCCCTAGGGGGAGTTGCCTCAGTCTTCGGAGCGTCCGGGATCGGCCCCGGCTCCCTTGCCCTTCCTGGCCCCTCCTTTCTGTCTCCCCAGTCATGGGGAACACGGCGACCGCCAAGAAAGGCAGCGAGGTGGAAAGCGGTGAGTTGAGGGTCCGGGAATGGTATCCGCCGGGTGGGCCGGCACCGGGCCGGGCGCACCCTTGGAGCTCGGGCCCCAGAGGTTGCGGTCAGAGTTCAGGCCTAGCAGCGAGAGCCGCTCCCGGGGACCCTGGAACCACCAACCTCTCTTGCCCTCCCGGAGCTCCTGGGTGAAGGCTGAGCCTGGGCCGAGAGCGGGCCCGCAATTCCCGTTCCTAACGGAGTGGGCACAGGTCCTGGAAGACTTTCTCTCATGTGGTCTCGGGAGGAAGCCTCGTGCCATCATCCCAGCCCTTGCTTTCCCCTCCGGAGCCCCTCTGTGGGAGCCACAGGTGGCGTAGTGGGCCCAGTGGGCCCTTCTCCCGCCATCGTCAGGGGCCAACCCGATTTTATCACCAGGTGAGAGGACCTGACCGTCTGGCGCGCTCCGTGAGATGACACCCAGGTCTTAGAGGTCCTCCGTCTCTTCACCTTAAGAATGGAAAGTGTAATACTAAACAGCAGCATTATCGTTTAGGGGGATAAAAAAAACCAAACAGGGCAGAATCCGCTCCAATGCCTGGAACACATAGAGGTCACTCAGAGTTGAAGTGCTTCCAGAACACTGTTGATTTCCATCTGCGAGCCGAAAGTGCGGGCACGCCACACTTGACGCCAAATCGAGTTTTGTTTTCAAAGAAAATTGAAGTTCTGTTTGGTGATTGTGAGGAATTGGATTGCCGTGGGAAGGTTCACATTGATGAGCAAATAACCCATTCTATCCCATTCTATGCTATAGCGCCATGAATAAATGACATCAGCATCTGAGGGAAAGCCTGGTGATTTGTTTAGATTGATGTAAATAGTTTTTCTTTTGTAGTATTTCACTCTTGGTAATGTAAGAATAAGACTAGCTTTGTAATTTGGTGGGCAGGAACCAGGTGTGTTTTTCTGTATCAATAAAGCAGAAATGATTTAGAAAACTTCAGCCACTCATTTTGTTTTAAAAGTATATTGAGAGCAGATTTTATAGTCTGTTTTGCCAGTGATGCTTTATTGTTAATTTTCAGGAGCTCCAGAAAAATGTCCTGTGCTAGCATATAAAATACTAATGAACATAATGTAGTTTGTGGTACAGAGATTTTAAAAAGCCAATGTGGAGGTAGAGGTAGAACTTACTTTGTCCTTTTTTTTTTTTTTAATTGAACAACTTAGCCCTGGTGGTATAGTGGTTACACATTGGGCTCCTAACTCCAAGGGCAGAAGTTCTGAACCACCAGTGTCTCCACAGGAGAAAGAGGGGGCTTTTGAGTCCCTCACACAGTTAGAGACTCGGCAACCCACAGGGGCAGTTCTATCCTGCCCATCAGGGACACATGAGGCCATATGGACCCCGTGACAGTGAGTTTGGTTTTGGGTGGGACTCATGGAATAACGAACTTCAGTGAACCCTCGTTTATCGCGGTTAATCGGTTCTAGACCCTACCATGATAAATGAAATTCCGCGAAGTAGGATTCCTTATTTGTAAATCAAATATTTTC